GTGAGATATTGGGGGGGGACGGGGGGGGACGGGGGGATGGACTATTTTTTATAAATAATACACCAAGAATGCCACACAGCTGTACAAAACACACAGCTGTACAAAATCCACATTGTACTGGATTATAGGACAGTGTGGATTTAGGGCGCTTCCACACAGCCATATAACCCAGAATATCAAAACAGAAAATCCCACAATATTTGCTTTGAACTGAGTCCACACTGCCATATATTCCATTTCAAAGAAGATAATGTGAGATATTATTCAGCTGTGTGGAAGGGGTCTCAAATAACCCATCCGAAGGCAATTACTGTGGATTATCTGCCTTGAAGAGCTGGGCATGTTTAGCCTGAAGAAGAGAAGGCTGAGATGAGACATGATAGCCATGTATAAATATGTGAGAGGAAGCCACAGGGAGGAGGGAGCAAGCTTGCTTACTGCTTCCATGGAGATTAGGACAAGGAACAATGGCTTCAAACTACAAGAAAGGAGATTCCATCTCAACATGAGGAAGAATTCTCAGTATACCCAAATGGAAACACTGGTGGAGTTTGGGGAAAATAAACCTTGACATTTGGGAGTTGTAGTTGCTGGGATTTATAGTTCACCTACAATCCAAGAGCATTCTGAACTCCACCAATGATGGAATTGAACCAAACGTGGCACACAGGACCTCATGAGGCCATCCAGTCCAACCCCCTGCCAAGAAGCAGGAATATTGCATTCAAAGCACCCCTGACAGATGGCCATCCAGCCTCTGTTTAAAAGCTTCCAAAGAAGGAGCCTCCACCACACTCCAGGGCAGAGAGTTCCGCTGCTGAACGGCTCTCACAGTCAGGAAGTTCTTCCTCATGTTCAGATGGAATCTCCTCTCTTGTAGTTTGAAGCCATTGTTTTGCGTCCTAGTCTCCAGGGAAGCAGAAAACAAGCTTGCTCCTCCTCCCTGTGGCTTCCTCTCACATATTTATACATGGCTATCATATCTCCTCTCAGCCTTCTCTTCTTCAGGCTAAACATACCCAGCTCCTTAAGCCGCTCCTCATAGGGCTTGTTCTCCAGACCCTTGATCATTTTAGTCGCCCTCTCTGGACACATTCCAGCTTGTCAATATCTCTCTTGAATTGTGGTGCCCAGAATTGGACACAATATTCCAGGTGTGGTCTAACCAGAGCAGAATAGAGGGGTAGCCTTACTTCCCTAGATCTAGACACTATGCTCCTATTGATGCAGGCCAAAATCCCATTGGCTTTTTTTGCCACCACATCACATTGTCGGCTCATGTTTAACTTGTTGTCCACGAAGGGATCTTGTCGAAGGGCTTACTGAAATCCAGGTAATTGAACCAATCTTCCCACACAGAACCCTATATTGACCAACAGAAAACACTGTTTTCTGATAGCCTCGGAAACCCCTCTGACACCTCCTCATGACCCCTCTTGGAGCCCCCGGTGGCGTGGGTTAAACCCCTGTGCCGGCAGGACTGAAGACTGACAGGTCGCAGGTTCGAATCCGGGAGAGGCGGATGAGCTCCCTCTATCAGCTCTAGCTCCTCATGCAGGGACATGAGAGAAGCCTCCCACAAGGATGATAAAAACATCAAATCATCCAGGCGTCCCCTGGGCAACGTCCTTGCAGACGGCCAATTCTCTCACACCAGAAGCGACTTGCAGTTCTCAAGTCCCTCCTGACACGACCCCCAGGTTGAGAAACGCTGTTCTATGATATACTGAGTTATATGCCTGTGCGGAAGGGCCCACAGAAAGAGCACATAAGACACACACAGTGGTAATCGGTTGTTTCCCCAATCCTTTTTCCTGGAGGTTCCGTTTTATTATATTATTATTATTATTATTATTATTATTATTATTATTAACTTTATTTGTACCCCGCTAGCATCTCCCGAAGGACTCGATGCGGCTTACAAAGGCCAAGGCCTCAAAACACAACATAACAATACAAAACCTAAAGCAAATTAAAAACAGTTAAAGCAATATTAAACAACAACAATAAACAATACAGCAAGACACTATAAAACTGGGCCGGGCCAGAGTAATGGGTACAGGATTAAAAGTGCTGATGTGACAGGTGATATGATCTAGACCAGGGGTCCTTAAACTAAGGCCCGGGGACCGGATGTGGCCCTCCAAGGACATTTACCTGGCCCCCGCTCAGGGTCAACCTAAGACTGAAATGACTTGAAAGCACACAACAACAACAATCCTATCTCAACAGCCAAAAGCAGGCCCACACTTCCCACTGAAATACTAATAAGTTTATATTTGTTAAAATTGTTCTTCGTTTTAGTTATTGTGTTGTTTTAAGTGTCTTTTGCACTACAAATAAGATATGTGCAGTGTGCATAGGAATTTATTCGTATTTTTTTCAAATTATAATCCGGCCCTCCAACAGTTTGAGGGACTGTGACCTGGCCCTCTGTTTAAAAAGTCTGAGGACCCCTAGTTTATAGGGTAAGTGCAGTGTGCAGTAATCTTAATTGTAATAAAGTGCTTCTGGGACTTGTTATTGGAGTTTCCTATTCTGGAAAGGCACATCGGAACAGCCAGGTCTTCAAGTTCTTTCTAAAGATTGGCAATGTAGGGGTCTGTCTAAGATCTTTTGGGAGGGTGTTCCAGAGTCGGGGGGCCACCACAGAAAAGGCCCTGCCTCGCGTCCCCACCAGACGTGCCTGCAACGCAGGCGGAATCACGAGCAGGGCCTCTCCAGATGACCGAAGTGAACGCGTGGGTTCATAAACGGAGATGCGGTCACGCAGCTAGGATGGTCCCAAACCGTTCAGGGCTTTGTAAGTAAGCACCTGCACCTTAAATTGGGCTCGGAAAATAAACGGCAGCCAGTGGAGCTCCTTGAACAGGAGGGTTGACCTCTCTCTGTAAGGAGCACCAGTTAACATCCTGGTTGCTGCCCGTTGGACCAGTTGGAATTTCCGAGCCGTTTTCAAGGGCAGCCCCATGTAGAGCGCATTACAGTAGTCCAATCTAGAGGTGACTAAGGCAGTGGTTCTCAACCTGGGGGTCGGGACCCCTGGAGGGGTTGCGAGGGGGTGTCAGAGGGGTCGCCAAAGACCATCACAGACAATGTTTTCCGTTGGTCATTCTCTGTTTCTGATCTAATTCTATCGTTGGTGGGCTTCTGAATGCTCTTTGGTTGTAAGTGAACTATAAATCCCAGCAACTACAACTCCCAAATGTCAAGGTCTATTTCCCCCAAACTTCACCAGTGTTCACATTTGGGCATATTGAATATTCCTGCCAAGTTTGATCCAGATCCATCATTGTGTGAATCCACAAGTGCTCTCTGTGTGTAGGCGAACTACAACTCTCAAACTCAAGGTCAATGCCCACCAAACCCTTCCAGTATTTTCTGTTGGTCAGGGGAGTTCTGTGTGCCAAGTTTGGTCCAATTCCATTGTTGGTAGAGCTCAGAATGCTCTTTGAATGTAGGTGAACTATAAATCCCAGCAACTACAACTCTCAAATGACAAAATCAATCCTCCCATAACACTCCAATAAGAATACATCCTGCTTACCAAATATTTACATAACGATTCATAACAGCAGCAAAATTACAATTATGAAGTAGGAACGAAAATAATGTGATGGTTGGGGGTCACCACAACATGAGGAACTGTATTAAGGGGTTGTGGCATTAGAAACGTTGAGAACCACTGGACTAAGGCATGGACCACCCCGGCCAATCAGCCTTTGCGAGGTATGGTCGCAGCTGGCGCACAAGTCTCAGTTGTGTCTTATATGCCTGTGTGGAAGAGCCCACAGAAAGAGCACATAAGACACGCACATTGGTAGACGGTTGTTTCCCCATCCTTTTTCCTGGAGGTTCCGTTTGGCTTCCTCTTTCCATTTTGCCTACAACCCTGTGGGGTGGACTCAGCAAAGAGCCTTAAATCCTAGGAGAGGCCTGATCGCTCCTGCTTCAAACAAGAGAGAGAGGGCCTCCTCCTGCCTATCTATCAGCAGAGCGGGCTCTATCGCTGCCCAGACAAAAGCTTCGGGTACCACAGCCTGGAAAGGACCGCACCGAGGCTGTTCTTTGCCAGGGCCATTTTCCCAGGAGTCAAAGCGCTCCATTCAGAAGGCTCGGCCTGCTCTTCTTCCTCTGTCAATATCCCAGCCATTACACCGCAGGAGGATGACTGACTGGCCGACTGACTGACTAAAATCGCGCCCTGGGGCAGGCGAAAAGGCGAGCGGCCTTCCTCTCCTCTCTTCTCCTCTCCTCCCTCCTCTTGGCAGCCGGGACACCGCCCAGCCTCGCCCTCGGCTCCACCGCATCTCCCTCCTTCCCTGAAGCGCACGCTCTACTCACCCCTTCGGCCCAGAAGGCGAGGAAGAGGGAGGGGCTTGCTTGGGAGGCGAGACGGGCGCGGCTCCGGGACCCACCCGCCTCATTCATAAAACGGAGCCAGCGCGCGAGGCAAGGAAGGAAGGAGGGAGGGAGGGATGGGTTCCCAGCGGAGGGGTAAATACAGCGGCTCGAGCGGCCGAAAGGGCGGCTCCCCTCCGATAGGTCGGAGCAGGTGTCGGTCAAGGGCCCAAGGCCCGCCCCTACACTCACCCCGCCTCTTCACCCAGCGCCGGGGCATCCGAGAACATGGGCTCAAAAGCACCCGCCAAGGCGGCCAACGGGGACCTGATTGGTGCTTCGAAGCGCCACTCAGCCGCCTTCCTACTACCCCCCGCGCGCACCCCCACACACTCCAGCCCTGTTGCCCTTCCCCCTCCTTGCCCCCCCTCCCTCCGCGCGCTCTTCCTCCTTTGCATCCCCTCCCACCGCAGCTCGGTTCTTACCAGGCACACGTTTCGAAACAGAAAGAGACCCTTTAAGGCTGCTTTAAAAGCCGGAGGACACAATTTCCCTCTATCTCTCCCCCCGCTTTTTTGTTTAAAGGGGAAGTGGGAATAACGACTGCAGAATAATAACTGGCCTCAGAGCGGATTTTTTTTTCCGGGCCAAGCACTTACCTCAGCCGGAGACATCCAGACGGCAAGACCCGCAGAGAATGCGGGGAAAGGAGGAAAGGAAGCAAGCAGGCAGGCAAGCCCTCGGCGCTGGCACAACGGTGCGCGCGCCGCCAACGGAATCAGCCCATGACGGGACCCGCCATCTTGGAGTTTTCAGATGGAAAGTCACGTGGTACAAACCTCCTTTTTTTTCCCTCCCCCCTATTTTGCTCCCGCGGGCCAATCAGAGAGCGGGGCTATTAATAGCAACGTTTCCCTCCTCCCTTGCTCTCCCCCTCCTCCCTCCTTTCTCCGACGCCGGAAGTGGAGTTGATTTCGGCTGATTTCGGAAGCGGGAGGCGTGGCTCTCTTCGCGACTGTCCGGCCAGATTTCTCTCTCTCTCTCTCTCTCTTGCCATGTATCTCGCGCAGAGTGGGCTCAAAGCCCACACCGGCAAGGGGCAAGCAAACAAAGAGGGTCGCCTTCCCCGCTTTCCTCTCTCACACACAGAACTGGAGGCCATAGGCAGCCATCATGGAGGTGGACCCAAGTCGCCACGGAAAATGCCTCTCCATACACCGTGTTTACATAAATAGCTTCAGGGGGATGAATCGGAATAAAAGAGCTGGAAGAGACCTCATGGGCCATCCAGTCCAACCCCCTGCCAAGAAGCAGGAATATTGCATTCAAATCACCCCTGACAGATGGCCATCCAGCCTCTGTTTAAAAGCATCCAAAGAAGGAGCCTCCACCACACTCCAGGGCAGAGAGTTCCACTGCTGAACGGCTCTCACAGTCAGGAAGTTCTTCCTCATGTTCAGATGGAATCTCCTCTCTTGTAGTTTGAAGCCATTGTTCCGCGTCCTAGTCTCCAGGGAAGCAGTAAACAAGCTTGCTCCCTCCTCCCTGTGGCTTCCTCTCACATATTTATACATGGCTATCATATCTCCTCTCAGCCTTCTTTTCTTCAGGCTAAACATGCCCAGCTCCTTAAGCCGCTCCTCATAGGGCTTGTTCTCCAGACCCTTGATCATTTTAGTCGCCCTCCTCTGGACACATTCCAGCTTGTCAATATCTCTCTTGAATTGTGGTGCCCAGAATATTCCAGGTGTGGTCTAACCAAAGTAGAATAGAGGGGTAGCATTACTTCCCTAGATCTAGACACTATGCTCCTATTGATGCAGGCCAAAATCCCATTGGCTTTTTTTGCCACCACATCACATTGTTGGCTCATGTTTAACTTGTTGTCCATGAGGACTCCAAGATCTTTTTCACACGTCCTGCTCTCGAGCCAGGCATTGTCCTCCATTCTGTATCTTTGCATTTCGTTTTTCCTGCCAAAGTGGAGTATCTTGCATTTGTCACTGTTGAACTTCATTTTGTTAGTTTTGGCCCATCTCTCTAATCTGTCAAGATCGTTTTGAATCCTGCTCCTGTCCTCTGGAGTATTGGCTATCCCTCCCAATTTGGTGTCGTCTGCAAACTTGATGATCATGCCTTCTAGCCCTTCATCTAAGTCATTAATAAAGATGTTGAACAGGACCGGGCCCAGGACCGAACCCTGCTTGTGGCACTCCGCTCGTCACTTCTTTCCAGGATGAAGAGGAAGCATTGGTGAGCATCACCCTCTGGGTTCGTCCTTTTAGCCAGTTACAGATCCACCTCACCGTAGTTTTGCCTAGCCCACATTGGACTAGTTTCCTTGCCAGAAGGTCATGGGGGACCTTGTCGAAGGCCTTACTGAAATCCAGGTACGCTACATCCACGGCATTCCCCGCATCTACCCAGCATGTAACCCTATTGAAAAAAGAGATTTTAGAAACACTTTTAGAAACACTTTAGAAACAATTATCTGTGCCCCCCTAATTTAGTAATGAGTATTGAAACTTTTTTTTCATTGATTGGCTCATAAACACCTGGAAGAGTTAAACAACTAAACAAACTAGATGCCGGCTAAGTTCTGGGCCCAATTGAAAGTTGGTTTTGACCTATACAGAGCTATATGGCTTATCTGGGTTACTTGAAGGACTGTCTAGTGAGATTTGTGAATTAATAGCAATGGTGACAGATGACTTCCATATCTGGTGAATTTATCCCAAATTTGTTTGAGAAGTGCTATCTGGGATGCTGAATTCTACTCTCAAAGTGGGCCCAGTACCTTGGATAGTAAAAGGTAAAGGTTTCCTCTTGACATTAAGTCTAGTTCTGTCCAACTCTGGAGGGTTGTGCTCATCTCCATTCCTAAGCCAAAGAGCTGGCATTTTCCATAGATGCCTCCTAGGTGCGTTGAGCGCAATTACCTTCCCGCTGGAGCGGTACCTATTGATCTACTCACATTTGCATGTGTTCGAACGGCTAGGTTGGCAGAAGCAATACCTTGGATAACTACTTTCAAATCTATTATCTATACCTATCTTCTAAATAATAATAATAATACTCTGGACCTCAAAAAAAATCGAACTGCAAAGGCTCCGGCATATTTCAGTACGTGCCAAAAGATTTCAGCTGGCATTTGAAAATAATAAATATTGACAAAATCACGTGTTAAAATCTCTTTTCTCTGCTCAAGTGGGAACAAATCAGAGGGCTTTCCAAGGGGCTGCTCCTAGACTTTAGAACTTTATCCCTAGAGAGGTTAACATTGACAAGTAAAAGCATTTATTTGCCATCAAGTGTTTGCAAACTGATGGATGATTGGCTTTTCAAGATTGTCTGGTTGGGATTTTAAGGTTTTAAATGCATTTTGATATATTTAATATTTAATGGTTTAAACCATATACTTTCATATTTATATTATGCTTTTGATTGTTTTTCATTAGTATTGGGAAATGCTAAAGACTGCTCAAACTTCCGTACAGTGGCCCTTATTTCTCATGCCAGTAGGGTAATGTTCAAGATCCTGCAAGGAAGACTCCAGCAATACATGGAGCGAGAGTTGCCAGATGTTCAAGCTGGGTTTAGAAAAGGCAGAGGAACGAGAGACCAAATTGCCAATATCCGCTGGATGATGGAGAAAGGCAGGGAGTTTCAGAAAAACATCTATTTCTGTTTTATTGACTATTCTAAAGCCTTTGACTGTGTGGATCATAATAAATTGTGGCAAGTTCTTGGTGGTATGGGCATACCAAATCACCTTGTCTCTCTCCTGAGGAATCTGTATAAGGACCAAGTAGCAACAGTAAGAACTGACCATGGAACAACAGACTGGTTCAAGATTGGGAAAGGTGTACGGCAGGGTTGTATACTCTCACCCAACCTATTCAACTTGTATGCAGAACACATCATGCGATGTGCGGGGCTTGAGGAATGCAAAGCTGGGGTGAAAATTGCTGGAAGAAACATTAACAACCTTAGATATGCAGATGACACCACTTTGATGGCCAGAAGTGAGGAGGAGCTGAGGAGCCTTCTCGACAAGATGAAAGAAGAAAGCACAAAAGCTGGGTTGCAGTTAAACATAAAAAAACAAGATTATAGCAACAAGAATGATTGACAACTGGGAAATAGAGGGAGAAAACATTAAGGTTGTGACAGACTTCAAGGAACAAAGATTAGTGCAGATGCAGACTGCAGCCAGGAAATCAGGAGACGCTTACTTCTTGGGAGGAGAGCAATGTCCAATCTCGATAAAATAGTGAAGAGTAGAGACATCACACTGGCAACAAAGATCCGCATAGTTAAAGCAATGGTATTCCATAGTCACCTACGGATGTGAGAGCTGGACCATAGGGAAGGCTGAGTGAAGGAAGATAGATGCTTTTGAACTGTGGTGTTGGAGGAAAGTGCTGAGAGTGCCTTGGACAGCAAGAAGATCCAACCAGTCCATACTTCAAGAAATAAAGCCTGACTGCTCATTGGAGGGAAGAATAGTAGAGGCAAAGATTAAATACTTTGGCCACATCATAAGAAGACAGGGAAGTTTTGGACATACCATCCTTCAACTCTTGATTTGCTTTCAGTGGGAGCAACCACTTGGTTTTCAAGGTGAATTTTAGAGAGTTATGTTTCCTGACTGCTCACTTGAGGAAAGGATATTAGAGGAAAAGATGAAGTACTTTGGCCACATCATGAGAAGACAGGAAAGCTTAGAGAAGACAGTGATGCTGGGGGAAATGGAAGGAAAAAGGAAGAGGGGCCGACCAAGGGCAAGATGGATGGATGGCATCCTTGAAGTGACTGGATTCACGTTGAAGGAGCTGGGGGTGGTGACGACCAACAGGGAGCTCTGGTGTGGTCCCTTCTACTCTTATTCTCACCTGGTCATATTTACCTGTTCCATCGAATCACTGCATTGTTTGCACTACTCACTTCCTGAACTGTCCCTGTCAATCTGAAAAGCCAAATACATAGTGTTTTAAAGCTGTGATGGCGAACCATATTTCAGGCAGAGCAATAGGGCAAGATTATAGCTGGAGAATGTCATCAGTCATCAGGCCAGGTGCCCACATTAAAGTTCTTTTTGTGTTGCTTTCTCGGTTGTAGAAAAGAGTGATTATACTGAAAGAACCTGTCAAAAGTCAATAGATATCTTGCCAAAATTAGGAGAACAAAAATATGTTTCCACTCCCACAAGATATTCTGTTATTGTTTTTTTTATTTAAAAAATCCTAAACTGATGACAAGGCAAGCAAAATAAATAAATAAATAAATAAATAAATCCAAGGAACATATTGCTCAAAAACATTAAAGCACACAAGAAAATGTTCTTTTAAATGTGCCAGAAACAGAAAGCCAGCCAGGGTGGCAGTGCCAGAACTTGGTCATAGGCAACAGGCAGATGGATGCCAGGAATCAGGATTTGTGCCAGGCAGCCTGACCAAAGGAACAAACAGCAGTCAGAACTAAAGAATACACCGAAAAACAGGGGGATTGTTCCTGTTCATCATGAAAGCACTCAGTCCAAATAGGAAGCTCTTCCTAGCCAAGAAAGCTCAATGGCCAGCTTGTTTTTACACTGCTTGTAGAGCTGCTGGTTTCCTGGTTGTACCAAGTGGATTGCTGGGTGACAAAAGAGTGCCAAAGGTGACCACTGCAAAGTATTGTTTTCATTCTCTTCTGGTTCAAGACAGGAACGTTCCAGTCCAGCTACAGTCTCTTAGAGTGCTTCCAGACAGTGCCAAAACCTGCATTTTAAATGAAGACAAAAATCCCAGAACCTGACTGCAGATCCCCACACAGACCTGTTAGTCC